AGGAACACGCAGAACCCTTAGGAAGAAAACTACTCTGAATAATAAAATTATTGCGTTGGAAACTCTTGTGCTGAAGAGATCTGAGGGCTAGATTAAAACACAGGTTCAAAAGAGCTGATTTTCAATTCTTTCAAAGCATACCACCCACTTGCTCTGGCACTCGCTTCAGCAGGACCACCTGCATGAGCAAGTACTACTAAAATTCAGAAAACACTATAGAAACCGGCTCAAAGGAAACGAGAGGATCATCTTGTGCAATGAGATGTGTACAAAAGCAATTAAATGGAAAAAAATGTATCACAGTTATCAGGCTGACATATGCTGCGCATATCCTAGTTGAGCATTCATTGCCTCGATGTAAACCACACAAACGGCCTGAGATATGTGATGAAAACGAGTTAGTGATGCTTACGGGTTGTGATCTGCTATGTGCGCGAACTATGCTGCAGACACATGCTAAGTGCTTTAACACTCAGCCAACATGAGGTTTTGCTATTTAGAACTGACAATATTGTTACAAGTTGAGAGCACATCACGTCTGGGGAGAATATTTGTCATTTGTATCTCACATCTCCCGTTTGCTAAACAACTACATGTTCTAGATCACGTGGCCCATTAATAATCAAGAGAGTCACTACCAGCTTTGTAATTTCTACCTAAACTAGGCACATCCATTTCAGAATATAGCAAACTGTAGTGTCCGCCACTCCAGTTGCTGGGTTAAAGATTAAAAAATAAAACAAAGCAAAACAAAAAACCCCACAACACTCCCCCTCTCCCCAAACCAGTAACCAAATCAGTCCCACTGACTTCTGTGGAATAATGCTGAGTCAAAGCCTCTCATGGTCCAGCTCCTGCAAGTCAGATACCCAAATTGTTAAAACTAGAAAATACTAAACAAAATCTTGGGAAGAATCGGACTTTCTATCAGAAATACCTCTGCCTCCTCTCCTTTCTCCCTTGTTCCCAACGTCTGCTAGTACAGTTATCTTTCCCAATACCAAATATGTTTCTGCCTGGAATGACACGAGTGCAGTAGAGCTTTCAGAGTCCACATTTCCGAGAACAGAAGTTTAGGTGAAAAAAGTCGAGAACATTTCCAGTGTTGACAACACTCTTTAGTGGGGAGCAGGTTGACTTCAGTTATGACCCACAGCTCAAGAGCTTTTCTGGCTTAGGGAATTAAAACCATTTTTCCCAACTGCTGTGGAGATCACACGACCCTGTGTACATCATGTCAGGCTAGAAGATGACTATGAATCATCCAAGAACGTCAACTCTCTTTACAAGCATTCAGTCTGTCAGAGTGAACAAAGCAGGCCATAATGGCCTCAGATGGGATTAACGGGAGACTCTCATGATGGAATAAACTGCTCTTTTATGACAGACTTCACATCATAATTCCTTGGAAATGCTAATACAGGAGGACAAAAAAAACCCAACCCAACCAACCAACAAAACCAAGCAGGAATTCCACCTTGCTGTTGACAGTTGCTATGACTCAGAGGAATTAGCTGGCATTTGGAACTCAGCAAATTTGTTGCAGGAGACATTACTCGGATAGCATGTACAAACAGAAGAGTTTGAAAGGAACATGCCAAGCATGCTTTAGGAGTTTCTGGGTCTGCTGTGACAGCTAAGAAACCCAACCGCATAGCTCTCAAATAAACAAACAAACCCTCTTAAATAAATAAATTACTGCAAGAGCAAAACCCCAAGTCTAAAAGTAGTTCGGTTCAGGATGCAAAGAGTCCTAAGTTCTATCATTTATCTTCAAGCCCTACCAGCCATATCTTGCAAAATCACCTAAACATCTGGGATAAACAGGAAAAACATGAGGCCACACAGGGTGAATCTTCAAGTATTGATCCAGAAAAGCAGGTGATTTTAAAAAGGCCTAAGTAATTTGCTTGCTATAAATAGAATTAAGTAATTTTAAAAGTTACAGATTATGAAAATACCTGAAGCTTTTAAAATACTGTTTTCACTGAGATTCACATGAAGCTTTGAGCATTCCCTTCTATTTTGCTGCATGAGAGGCATCCTGGGTTGGATGGTTCTGTGTTTCTGAGGCACCTTGTGCACTGCCTTCTACCGAAGCTGCTTGTTCAATCAGTCCTGATGGTTTTGGGGAGAGTGCACCACAGAAAGTTAATATTGACGTAGAGAATTTTCCTCTGTCATTTGCTGATGACTTGTGGATGTAAGGTTGACATGAAATAATCTTTCTTGATTTTAATAGAACAGTGGCAGTTTTACCCTATGAGGCCTCATTCTGAAAATAGATTTTTTGACAGCAGACTAGTGCTTTTTTAGAACACTAACTTTGACACTTTAACACTTAAACTTCGACAAAAATGCAAAGATCTTTATGGCCAATGCCTTTTACCCACAATGTTCTGCACACTGCTTTGCTTGTACAGTATTTTGCTAAGCCACGGTTTGCAAAAATGAGATTACTACTCGTAGGGAACTTTTTGGGACATTTCAAAAGCTTAGCATTCCAAATTCTTAAATCACACATAAAATGCGTGCAAAACCAAATAAAACCCAACCAAATATAATCCTCTCTCTTTCCCCTGGGCACAGGAGGTGAGGGGGTCAAGGAGGGAACCAAGAACAAATGAACCTAGGAACTATTATCATCTAGTTAAGCACAGGTAAAAATTAGACTTTACAAAACGTAAACCAAAGTAAAGTAAAATAATCTCCCTGAAAAGCAAGACAGAACTTATTTCCATCATCCATTGTAGATAGAAAATTAAGTGCTTGCATGAAAAGTTTGTGCTCTCTATTCAGCGATACGAGACAGGAAGAAATTCCTAACTTTGGAGCTGTGGGAGAGTCTGTCCCCTTTTTGCCTAGACAATGGTCTAAAACTCTTGCTACAGAAGTGCTTATGAAAGCTTGTTATACTTTATGTGAGCTTTTATTTTCTTTTTCTGCAAAGTTTGCTACATTTGGGAGTGTACGAAGACATTTTAGACCCTCAGACGCTACGGTCTACTGCTCAATGGATCAGGAAAGGGACCAGTGTACCTTAACTAAGTGGCTGGCACCTATGACAATCTGCAACAGTGGCCTTAGGATTTGTCTTAAGAAAGCAAGCAGGGGTTTTATGGCTAAAAATCATTCAATTTTCTATAAAGTCCTTAAATCTCTCTGTGTCTAGCTGCTTCCTCTGCTCACTGTGAGAGGAAATGATCCTAATTTCACATTTCTTGCCACTTTTACTGCTACTCCACCCATCGACCGTTTTTCCTTTCATTGCGCGCACCATGCTCATTCACTGCTGGCGAAGGGCTGCATTTATGGGTGGTTTACATCCTGCTAATCTCTATGGCATTCACACAATGTTACCTTCTGCCGCACCACCCTGACTATACCTCTCACAAAAGCAGCACTTTCACTGTAGAGAAGCACAGTACAAGATGGGCAGAGGAAACTTCAGCACCATTTCTAAACTATTAAGTATTTCCATTGTACGCTGTTACAACAGTGCTTAAACTTTCCGATCTGCAGCACAGTCTCTCCCAACACTACTCTAGCATCACCTATGACTTCCCAATGAACAGTATATACTCCAAGAACCTTACTGACTCTGTCCTGAGGGTTGTGTGGACAATAATTAAAAATCAAAACTACATGAAAATTGCTGAACAGATCCTCCAGGGAATTGTGGGTGAACAAGAGCTGGGGATCTGTGAACTGGAAAATTATTTCTTACAGGACTGAGTTTCCTTCATGTTTTTTAAGCTTGTAGCTCTTCTGTGCAGTAACAGATGCATAAACAGGATGCAATTCTTGTACTCGAACTATCTGTGTACAAACAACTGGAATACATACAGAGACTCAAAGGGTTGTCTCCAATTTATTAAATAACATAAGCAATTTTCCAAAACTGCATAAACTGAAGTTTCCTTTGCAGATTGCTTTAAAAGAAAGTTAGGCAGAAAAGCCAGGAAGTAGGAACGGTACTTGGGGAAATGCAGGAAGCATGGAAATTACTAAGGGGAACACAAATTTCAGACAAACAAACAAACGAGCAGAGGGAAGCTATAAATGTCTGTATCAGTGAAGGAAGACACTTTTCAGATAACTCAAGTGCCAGATGACTGTGACTGAGGATGTGTGGAAGAATTGCACTTAATTTTTCAAGGCTTTTTACTGGAAAATTTCTTAGGCTCTATTATATGCACTGTTCCCTTCGTAATTATTACACTTATTTCTACCACTAATAACGTGCATACATCTACTGTTTGTCATGTTCATAAAGCACTTAATAAACCTCCTCTGAAAGAAGGAAATCACACTGCTTGGAAATTCACTAACTTGGAGAGAGAGGGGAAAAGAAGCTATTCTTAGCATATACACATCATTCCTAGTCCTCTGACATATCAGCAGTGGTTCAACCAGAGGTGACGTGAGAGTAAATGCATATGGCACCTGCCTGGAAAGGTATCTGAAAAAACACAGATGTGCCCTGACAGCTACTTGAAACAAGTACTTTCCAAGCTGAAATCCCAGTAGTGGCCAATCTGTCAATAGCCAACATTACTGTGTATCCAGAAAGGCATTCATCCACCACCAAAAAAGGGTTATATTTGGAATAGACTATATTAGGCACTCTGCACTCATGATTTTGTACAAGGATCCCAGGCAAGGAGTGAAGAACGTTTACAGACTACAACGAGTGGATGTTAATTTTCATTTAAATGTAACACAGCCTTAGTTGGAATGTGGTGAGAATGCCGTGACTGTAAGCAGACAAGATACTGGTTCAGCAACACGGCCAAAAGGCAAGTAACTAGTATTTCTGGAACTGCAAAAACCAACATGAGAAAGCAATGTTATACTTCAGGTTTTTAAAACATTACTTACTGCCTTCACTACTTCATGCAAAAATTAGCTATCTATCATAATGTGTCGATAGAAACAAAATAAATGAAGTGCAGAGTGAAGTGCAAATCTATATGTAAACATCATTAATCATTCCTCACCTGATCTTCTTCTCCACCACCTTCTTCATCATATTTCAGAATGTTGTCCCTCACATCATCTTCTGGATCAATCAAGAGCTGCTTTGCCTGACGCTCTTTATCACGGCGTTTCATCCATACCACGAACATTAAAACTAAAACTACATTGCAAAAAGGGAAGACACAAAACCACATCTTGATTCTGAAGTATAGACGCAAAAGACTGTACAAATTTAACACCAAGATTTTTTAAAAAAAGAAAAAGAAAAAAAAAAAGAAGAAAGCCAAGAAAGTTGGCTTTGACTGTTCTGGATGAGGTAAGGTTTTTTTTAAATAAAAAATTTCATAGAAGGCAGCTTAAACAAGAGATTTTTAAGGCAATTTGATTTGGAAATCAATCACATATTCAAGGTCGTAAGTCACAAATCTGCAAAATAGACTTGTCATGAAAAGAAGTAAGAAAGACCAAGTTTCATAAACCACTGGTTTCAGAAGGGAATCTCTCCAGTACTGGCAAGAAATCTAAAAGATTATTTATATTTTTTTCTGCTATGTCCCAAGAATATATAGCAATTTATATAGTTTAATTAATTCTGATGTTTGAACACCATCAAGCTTAGGCCATTTTGGCACATAGCTCAGCAGTCCACAAGAACAGACCATATTGTTGCCTAAGTTTGGATTTATGTTTAGAAGCAAGAGAGTCAACGTTGAGGAAAACACAGTGGCATTTACAGCTATATATTTTAATCTTTAATCTCAGCAATTTCAAGTTTGTTTACAAACTAAAGCTGTTAGAATAAATGTGAGTAAATTAATTTCTAATACAATACGTATGTTTCTAATTACAACCATCTTCATGGAAAGAAAATCTAGTCTATCTAGAATGTCAATATATGAAGAGTATCTTCAAGGATTTGATAGTTTCAATAAGGTTCTGTTAATTCAATACCTAACATTTTAAGAGTATCTTGTATCAAAAATAATTGTACTGTGCTTTGGGACAGCCATGAGCTTAGCCAGGCTCAAATACTTTTAATTTTTTAGATTTTTTTTTTTTAAATTACTCCTTTTCATAATTTTCTATGTTCTGGACTGGTGCACAATATACTCTGAACAGGTTAATACCTTCCTTGTGTTCCACCACAATCAGAAATCAGTTAGCCATAATGTGTAGGTGAGCTAGCACCAAATTTACTACACTGGACAGACACTTAGTCATGATGTTTAGTCATTTCTCTTACTGAACGCACTTGACACAAAAATAAAATACTAGCACAGCTTTATGTAGTACTTAAACAAACATACACATCTCTGTTCCTGCATGGCTGCCTGCTTCTCTGGCCTTATATGAAGGGCTGTGATGTATTACTTTCCAAAATCATGAAATAGCCTACTTGCATTAACCTGAAGCACAATAGTAGTAACACCAGAGCACTCCTTAAAGGCACCGTTTCCTGTGGTGGGTGGCATCGAATCGCACAGTATCAGCAGCACATGAGAGACTAGATGGTTTCGGGCTAATCGTGTCTTCAGTCTGGTCACTCACTGACGTAACATAGCAAGTGCCCATAGGCATATATGGAAAATCTCTTTCACAAATCCACCATGGGGCTTGACTGCCATGCAAGTGCTAGTTATGATCTGTCTGACAGACTCCTAATCCTTTACCGTCAGAAACTCTTCATACTTGTCCAAGACATTAAACTAAGCAGCAACAATTTTTGGACTTGAGTCTTTAATCACTCCCCTGTCTTTATCAAGGTATGCGGGACTAAAACATAAGATGGTACTTGCAAAACAAGTAAAAGAGTTACTCACTGAGCAAGATGATGATACAAAGTAGAATTGCAATGATGGCACCAGTGCCCAGCCCTGCGCCAACGATCCGGTCAACGTCAGTGCAGTCTCCATTTATGTCACACTGGCAAACTTTCACTTTCAGCATGGAAGTGCTAGATGCATGTGGATTTCCAGAATCTGTAATTACTATGGGCACATCGTAGATACCAGCCTCCAGGAACCTGATCCTTAAAGAGAGCTGGGCGTGATCTCCTGTGTGTGAAAATAAGGCCCTTGTTAAAAAATGATGTATTGCTCATGTGGGTTTAAAACAGTATTGGTAAAAACGGTTTATTTGTGAGCTCTGCAGTAACTTACTGTTCAACCCACTACGTGACACTCACGATAACTGACTTGTTTATTACTCTGAACATCTTTTCTTTCTTAAAATTTCTTATTCTTTGGGGAACTGACACTAAGGTGCTCTCCTATTCATAATAACCAAATTCACATACGTTGCAATGTAACACCAAAGTAAAATACAGAAAAAGCATATGCAACAGTTTCTTTAAAATTATTAAGATTTCTATAATGTTAATTACCACTAATTCGAACAATGGTCCAATTCCTCTTAATACTAGCAGGTGTGTCAGGCAGCTCAAAGGCAAACGGGCCTGCATTTGGATCTATGTCAGGGTCTACAGCAGTGATGTTAATAGCATTAGGCTGTAGCGTTTCACAAGTCGTGGCTTCTTTCGGATTCACTTGTGGGGCATTATCATTGATGTCCAGCAGGTGTATCTGCAGTGTGCCAGTTCCACTCATTGGGGGAATTCCTTAAAGAAAAGAAAATAGTATTGAGCCTGTTTCAAATTGCAAAGTTACTTAGATGAAGTTATACCAACACTCTTCAATTACCATGTACGTATGTTCACCTCAGTTTTGGGATTCTGTCTCTACCAAGCCAATCTAACACTGCCACTGCTCCTGCTAACACACAAATTCTTATGTGGTCTGTTCTCAGAAAAAACTGCCCTACTCAGCAAAATTCAGCAAATAACTGCAGATCCACAGATCGGGGACTCAACCACTTTACTGACCAGACAGCCAGTTTGTCACCAGAGATGGTCCACATCAAATGCTTCAAAGAAAAAGGTGCAAAATCAGGATAGTTTATCCTCTGGAGAAATTATTTTTAACTCTGAAGACTTACAATTACCCTTTACCACAAATGTATTATTTAAATTCTAATACTAACTTTCAGCACACTACTTCTAGAATGTGTGATGCTTCCGTAAACCTTGCTAAAGTCACACTTCTATGTGAACATGTGGCACTGAATATCTCAGTATAATTAGCAATGGTTCTCATTCCACCCCCACGCCCTCCACAATCTTCCAGTTCAATTTGATTTTTTTTTCTCCAGAACAGACCCAAAGGATAGAAATAGTCGATCCAGCTTTGTTATACTGTATCAGTTCACAAAATTTTACCATTTCTCTTCTCTCCAAGGTAAACAGCCTCAGTATTTTGTTTTTCCCTTCTAACGCGAGAACCTTCCTAACTGCACCTGTCCATCTTTCTGGTATCACCTATGAACAGTACAGCACTCCAGTCAAAATCAAAGGACTCCTTTCTGAGCAGAGACTGTTAATTGTCATTAACAAACCAACAACAAAAAGATGCTTTCCCCTCTGCACTGCTGTAGCCTGAATGTGGAAAAATACAATACCTCTCCCACAACATGTTACTCCCCATAAAGTCCACATATGCCATGCATTCACTCAGCCTACTGCACTCCTGTGCAGGTTTTTTCAGTTTTCTGTAAACTCGACTAATACAAGTAAGCTACTGCCTTTCTCCAATCTCACAGAATTATTTTTCAGCCCATTTCCCAAGTAGCTGGGAAATATACAAAGTCTGATACTAATACAGACCTTCCAACTGGATGTATTCTAAGCATGTCTTCTTTTCTGTCTCAGTAAAATGGAATGTCATTCAACCACAGAGAAGAAAGCTTTTTGAAAAAATATACAATATTGATACATACCATTATCAGAAGCAAGAAATGTTGCATTATACATATTGTTTTGCACATATATTGACTCTCTGTCCAAAACAGCTGTAGTAGTTATTTGTCCATTAACAGGGTCAATTTTCAGCCAGTTTGCAGGATCTGAAAGTTTTGAGTACCTGTGTATTTGATCATAAGTTGTGTTATTTATCTGCCAACATAAATATTGACAACAAAGACAACATCAGTATTTTAATTTCCATTTGTTAAGCCTTGTCGCTAAAATTCTTGAAAATATGTATTAAAAAGAGTCCTACATTTAGATTCTCAAAGTGCCCTGCCATGTAAGTTCTCATGTAATGGGCAGAAATCATACAATTACCATAAACTATATAACATTCATACTCAGACTCCATTTAAATAGTCATTAAGGATCCCTCTTGCTTGTTCTGTACCTGGAGAAGCTGTTCATACCAACTTGTTTCTTATCAGAGTGCTAAGAGCGGGAGAGAGGTAACAATGGATAAAGAGTGTTAGAGTAGCACTAACTCGCACTATTCTAGCATTTTCAATATCACTTAAAAGTTAATTTTTCTTAGAGGCCCTAGTTTTACTGCATGCTTCCTATCTTAATTTGAAAGAGGCGTGTCTTTCAAAACCATACTTCTATCTGATAAATCTACCCTTTGACATTAATCAAATGCAAGCTACCTTAGGTCATTAAAAACACATATATCCTTAAGTCCCCATGCTATCATGTGTACAATGGTTATGTCCAGAAATGAGTAAAACACCAGCAACAGTTAACCAAAAGTAAGAGAAAATAAAATTTTAAGAACCTTTGGAAGGAAAGACAGAAAGTAAGTTCTGGAGTTTCCTCTACATGAGTTAAAAAACTTATTGGATAAGCTAGGACCCTGAGTCCTGGCCCAAGGCTTGTCGCTGTGCCTTAGCTTTGCAGTCAATAACCATGTTTTAAACAAGGTATGAGAAAGCATGCTTTAAGATTTCCATGTTTTATTCTCTTCACTTTTCTCATTTAGCATAGTTTTAGACATTTGGCAAATTATGATCAAATTACAATCATAGCTATCAGTACAAGAGTTCACAGATGGACAAGAGCAGCACTTTGCATTGGTGCAGAATAAATGAGAGGAAAATTCTTCAGATTTGGTCAATCTGATGTGGTTTTGCTGCCGTATCAAAATTATTCGTTAATTTAAATTGCAAATGATCTTAGTTCACACAAGCACGTGTGTGCTCTGACTGAATTTGTTGGGATGTCACGTATACTTTAACACAGATGCATAACTTCATACTACCTTGATAAAGTGGGACTTAGCACTAGAAGTTGACACAGTTTACAGATCTATGAATGCTGGTTACGTCACCTTCTCTAAAGCCAAAAATCCCTTTAGAGAGTGCTACGCCAAAGCCACAGGAGGTATTGGTATGGCTGTGTGCTATGGTAAATGCAGTCTCTTTGTTCCCCACCCATTCTATAACACGGATACTGCATTCCAACTGTTAAATAACTACAAAATGTTTATACAGACCTTACAGAGGTTTGCTGCATATAGCGATCTGGGTCCTGAGCAGTGAAAGTTGTCAGCATGCTACCAGCAAGTAGTCCTTCTTCTTGACGAACCAGCTTAGGGTTTGGAACAAAATATGGGCTCTCATTCACATCAATGACCGTAATGGACACGGTTGCTGTTGACTGAGGAGGATGCTGAATCCCCTTAGCCAAAGGCACTTGATTTTCCGCAGCTACAGTAAGTACAAACATCCTGTTGGTCTCGAAGTCAATAGGCTGAAAAAGCAAAGAGCAGGAAGTGTTAACATTTATGCACAATAGTGATGGATACACAATAACATTTTTTCTTTAAAGCACATTTTTAAACATTGCTTTTACTGCTTTTCTCAAAAACAAGCACATAGCCTATAGAGAAGACAAATATAACATCTCAACATGAGACTGGGTTGGGGTTTTGCTTAGCAGCAGCAGCAGTTTTGAAGTCAGAACAGCTAGTAATCTTGTAATTCTTGGATTTAACTTACTCTGGTACTGCCATTAGAGCTAACTGAGGAAACAAGTAGTTTCATCAGAAAATGGTGTAGAAACTCCCAGCTTTGTGCCAGGCACTCACATGAGCAGATGGGCCTCCTGAGGAGCTCTCCTGGGGAGAGAAACCTGCCTCTCTCTGTTATGAGGATGAAGGTTTTCTTCAAACAAGATCATGACCATACCTAGTCCCGTAGATCAGAGATTCCCATGCACTTAATGTTTCACTAGAAAGACTCTTTGTAATCCCAGCTAATCCTACTTCTAGTATACCTACAGTTCCCATCTTCACAGTCCAGACAACCTTCAGTTTGGGGACTTCCTCACTGAGCCAGAAGTTCAGTTGAAGGAGGAGTAAAAACAGTTTGAGGCTAGAGTTCCTTTGTCGTGCTGCATAGGGGTGAAGCATTCCCCAAGACCTGATTTGCCTTAGTACTACTCACACGGATTCCAGACTTGAAGGAATCCTGTACCTTACAGAAGCAGTTGGCATGTGACAGTATGAAGTCAGTGACAAGAGACAATCCAATCTTCATTACAGGTTGACAGATCAACTCATTGCACTGTCAATAAGAACTGTAGGCAGGCTTCCAACTCTTCCCATGTCTGGGTGCTTAAAGGAGTGTTACAAAGCACAGACACATAATTCTTGCTGGAAGACTGCAATGTAACAATTGGTACCTCTGGGGAAGCGCAGTTATAAAACAGAGACAGTTCTTAAAAAAAACTAGTGTGAATTACCACTATCGCTGTACAAAAATTTGTATCTTTTTGTCACTGAGATACTGAGATTAAAAAAAAAAAAAAAAAAAAAAAGAAGAAAAAAGTGAATGGTTTAATTTCCAAATGGGAACATTGGCATCTCACACTTGACTTCATAAGTGGATCATGCAATCAGCCAAAACGAGAACAGGCCAACTCAGAGATGAAACACTTAGCAGAGGGCCATGAGGAAAGGTGGCTACCGCCTGGCAAGTTTAATTATAGAACCGCATTGTTATTATCACTGGAAATAAGTCACCCCTCAACACAGAGCTGTGTTGGCTAGAGAATGAAGATAGACAGGTTATTCCATAAAAGGTATTTAAATGAGGTCTTAAAAATAGCTAGTCTTTAAAAGCCTCTTGTAGAAGTAGCCTCCCACCTATCACTTTCTCCTCTCTGGTTGTGCCTTGACTGTCTATGTCTGTTCCTTAATGGGAACATGTTGATGTAAAACCCGCAGACAACAAGCATGACGACTAATGGAAGCCAGGAGGTAGGAAGCTGCTCCTTTATACTAATGACAAATACTAAGCAAATGCTTTTTCACAGACTAATTCCTATCTTTTGGCAAATAAAGCTTAAAAATCTGTCATTTTCAACAACTTAGCCTGATTTTTAAAACTGGAATACTACTGATAGTGTAAGCAAGGAAACACTCCAAGAGATGGATGGCTAACTTCCACAAGAAAGACAGTGCCAATCCATTTTACTTTCCAGACTCATGCTGGCCTCAGGAGTGCACATTTTTCCTCCTCAGTGTTCTCCCACTTACTCCCTCTCTGCTTAGTTGTCTGAAGCGCAAGCATCTCTCACCTTGACAACAGTCACCAGCCCATCGTTGCTATTGGGATCGGTCAGGATAGTAAATCGACCTGTCGGGTCTCCTCCAGTCATTCGGTACATCGCATTCCATGCAGGTGTGTGGGGCTGATCTTTATCCGTTACTGTCAGATTCGCTACGATCACATCCACCCTGTTTTCCGGTACTTCCCCGTAGAACTGCAAAAAACAAGCAAACGTTTTATCCTGGCTGCAGGAGCATGCAAGAGCCACGCCATACTGAACATTCATCGACGTTAGGCAGCTCATCTCTCTTCACTGGAGCTCTGAGAATTTATCTAATGAAGTTTACCTGAGGCCACCCAGAAAACTGATGGTTCGATTCCCTTGTCAGCTTTTGCCTTTTGGCCTAAGTGGAATACTGTATCCGAGAGACATATATTCTGCACGTATTTCAATTCTGCCTGCCAATACACTATCTAATAAGTAATAAATATTTACTGTCTGCGAATATAATGAGAAAAGTAGGGAAGGGTTATAAATATTCACATCCTTCAGTTACTCCTACCCTGTACTTACAGTCATGGCGGTGAACTCTGGAGGATTGTCATTGACATCTGTCACAGTGATCACAGCAGTTGCTGTGTTTGAAAGACCATATGTTGGGTTTCCTTCCATGTCCGTAGCTTGAATTATTAACGTATATTGTTGTACTTTCTAAAACACAAAACGACATCAACATAAGTTTTAGACAAAACTAACATTACCACAGGACAGCAGGTGTTCCCAAAATTGCACTTCACTAAGCAATGGAGCCTATCACACTGTTTATTCTAGTTAGCATCACCTGAAATGACAGGAGCAAAGTTTGTGCCACAGGAATACAGCACCAGGTTGCATCTAGCTATATTGAACTACTGCTTGATATGCTTCAAATACCACTGAGACGAGGACAGACTGCCTGCTTCCTACTCTCAAAAATCAAAACCACTTTATACAGTTAATGCTACTATCACAGATTTAACAATGGTTTTCAAAGGGGGAAAAAAAAACTGAGTGCATTTTATACTAGAACAGGGTAAGTCCTCAAAAGCATTTGAGAGAACCAGGCCAAGGTAGGTTTGTTGGTCCAACGGCCACAACTGCCAAGGTTTTGTTTCAGCCAAGCCCACATATGAAACCGCAGTTGCAACTTCTTGAGATCGCTATGGAAATTGAAGATGTCAAGGTTAACAGAGACGAGGAAGGGCACTGGGAGAAAGGGGGAGAGAAGAACCACACAGGCTATTTCCATAAATGTTAAACACCCCGGCCAAAGATGGTCGCCGCCGCCTCCCACCTGCCCCGCGAGCCAGGCGCTCCCCTCTGCTGTCATGGCTGGAGTGGGGCCAGGGCTCCCTCAAGCACAAGAAGTGCCCAATGGAGACCCGACCTCAAACTGGTTAGCTCTTTAAAACAAAGTTGACAAGGTTGTACTTAAATTTACAAAAAACCAAAAAAACAAAAAACACCACCACACACAAAAAACGCCACAAAAATTAAGAAGATTTTTTTGTGTAGAGTTGCTGAGAAGTTGATCTTGACTTGCTGATGGTTTCTACCATGAAATGCAAATATTGTGCATGCTTTTTCATTCACCAGTTCAGTATTCTAGTTTGGAGAGAGCTACGTATTATCACGCAGATCTTTCCAAAAGAAAACGCACAAACACAAGGAGTTGCTATTACTTTGAAATAATGCTTTCATGAATGGTTTACTAACGCTGGCAAAACCTTTTGGCAAAACAGAAATACTTAAAGAAAAGCATACTTTTTTTTCTACTTGGTACCTTATTTCCTCCCACTACTTAAAGAATGGGGTATATGACAGATTACTTCTCACGGAAACAGTTTACAAAAAGGCACTACAGATATCAATACAAAAAATAAGCAAGGCCAATTCTACTGATACTATCTAACTTTCCTTCAAATTTTGGCCAGATACTATGACAGACATTAGAGATTTAATGGCTAGGCATGCCTCCAAGCAGCAAATATGAGTCACTGAACAAAAAAGTTTTTAAAATAAGCTGTATGAATCTTTATCTCCCACTGAAGATAACTTATGGTCATGTCCTCTTTCACAACAAAAGCCCTTACAAAACATCCCAAACGTGTATTACTATATATGCATCCCGCAGTTCTTTAAAAAAGCAAAACTAATATTATTTATACAGAAATGCAGTATATATGTTTAATAATGCATAAATATGTATATGAATTCTGATGTGGAAAATATACTTGCAAAGTGACCTTCAAAAGGCTTAAATCAACATCCTAAAGGTTTCCTTCACGACACCAACTAGAGAAGCAGTCACAAGGGAATCAAAGAAATACTTTTACCACTTTCATCCAGGAAAAAAAAAATACACTTTACTTATAGTGAAGCAATAAAATCTAGAGCAGTATTGTAGCAAATCTTGCAGCCAGATGAATCTACGTTATTGAAACAGCAGGTGCTTCTGAATCATCTGGGTCTTAACACATTGATCCCAAGAAGCAAATTTCATTAAGGAAACTCCATTGTTATTACTTGGAGACTCAACTTTGGTACAATCTTCTTATTTAATTCCAACAGAAGCAGCGCATTAGAAACTGCCCCCAAAAAGTGCCCCGAAAGACAGTGTATATGTGTTTTTGTTTGCTTGTTCTTTTTTCTCCCCTTCTCTGCACTCACATACAGAAGATCAACTGCTGGGAATGAAATTTCAGAAATTAACAAGCACACAGCTTTCCAAGCATGGGGAAATTGGGGGATGCGGCTTTCCTCTTGTTACTGTGGGTTGAGAAGCAGCCAGGAATAAGCCGTGGAACATGTGTCAGCAGCCTGCATGGAGACTTTGCAGCAACACATCCGAAAACGAACTGGCAGCTTCAAGAAAGAACGCAGACCCCATCAGGTCACATCTTTCCACTTCAACACAGGCCAAATAAAAGAGCACTTCACTGAATTAACCTCACGTGAGGCAGGAATGTCGGTGCGTAAATTTAAGCACCCTGCCTGAATTCTTTGGCACCTCCAGCAGTAAGGCAGATGTTTTAATGCTGAAGTGAATTCCACAGCAATAGTGGAAGAAATAAGAACAGCTGGATCTCATGAAACAGCATCTTTTGGGATAGCAAGTAAAAGATTTCTTCTGCCTTGAGCTGAGTCCCCTTACCTAAGCAACTCTCCTCTGCATGTTAGCACAGATAATGCATTGTGCACTTTAATCTAAAATACTAGCAGATGAGGAATGCTATCAGAGGAACCTCTCCTTTTTTTTTTTAAAGTCTACAACACTTATGCTCCATAAATAACATGTCACGTAATTTAAGAATTTAAAATTGTGTCTAGTATTTTATGAGCCTAATGAGAGCTTTAGAGAGTCAAGACTTAGAGAAAAGGGCAGAATGGCAGAAGTGGATAGCCTAGCTGCGGTTCGTGGACAACAAGGAACCTTGTGCAACAAGACATTCCCCAGGCCAATGTCAGAAGACCTGCTCAATTCAGATCTGGCTTTCTAGACTTCTGGTCGTTTTAATTTAATTGACTTCCACAAAATGACTCAGGAAATGAAGGAAGCAAAGGAATGGCTTGGGAAGGAAACCATTTTATCTCATATTAGTCTAATTTAATATCTGAATGATTTAACATTAATCATTAATATTCAAGACGTGCAAGAAATGTTTATAAATACTCATTTGGGTATCAGTATAGTGATCCATCAGGAAAACTGATGGCAAATGACAAAGCTTCTCCAGCTGTTAATGAGAGGGTCTGAGCTCCACAGACAGCTGGCTGCTTCTGAGTTAAATCACTCTGGTACAGCTATTCACTAAGTACGAAAACTCAGAGTTATTGCTCTGTCCTTCTGAAAGTTCACCTGTCAGTGGTGACCAGGGGATTTTAAAAGCAAGGGCAAAGCTGCCCATCATTCTTTTAATTTAACAGAGCAATACTGTAAAGTTCAGGGTTTTCCTTTCCTCAAATCCATCCTCTTCAAAACCAACTTAAATAGAATGAATGTTAATAAAACTTTAAAAATTAATTGCCACCTCTAACAGTCTGTTTAGCTTTTCAAACTGAAATGCATCAGAATATTAATAGCCAACCCAGAGTATCAGAAAGTATTTTTGTTCTCCATTTTAAATAAGTATAAGCAAACAGCTAGAAGCTGAACAGCAAATCCAGTTTAAAAAAAATCTTCAGATTTAATGAGCTAAAATGAGGTTAGTAAAACAGAAGTTGAAACAAGATGCACTAAAAAAAATTTGTTTGGATTTTATAGTTTGTTTATAAAATAATGCTTATCTCTTGTGAAGTTTTCAAACAGTTCAAAAGCACAGTTAGTCCACGTGACAGATCTGGAGTTGGGAGGGAAATATTTTCATTCCCACCTCACAGATGGGTGAACCAGAGCAGAGGATCTGGCATCCTGCTTCTCCAGTGGTGGGCACAGCGAAGAACTGTCTAGATAGAATGGGACTTGCCCAGCATCTAGCAGGGAATTACTGACAGTCAGATTTATTTTTTTTTTTAAAAAGTTTTTGAATGTGCATCCAGGCCTTGAGACAAGTTTCCATCTACGCAGTTTCCAACACTGACTGGTTTATTTCTTAGAAACATGCTTTTCAAATTTTAAAATTGGTAATATTTTTCCAATTTTATTTTAATAAGCAAAATGCAGATCAGAAAATTTCTGCAAATTTAGCAACACAGAACCCAGAAGTTTTCAAATATTTACGACCTCTCTGTGAAAAGCAAGCAAGAGGACAGAGGGAGGATGGCTGCTCTCTTGGAGCTTCCAAAAGAAGTAAAACGTATAGCCAGCTCCATTTTCCATCTATTCTTTGCCCATGGCAAGAGGAAAGGGCTGGAGCTGAGGAACACCTCCCATCTCAGCCCCCAGGCCAAGCACCTGAGGTGATTCTGCTTTAGCGTGTACCTGTTCCGCAAAAGCAAACAGGGGCTTATGAGACAAGATTCTTTCCACGACCCCATGGAACTGTTGTGTAGTACAGAACGTGCGGCTCCAATTTCCATCCCTATCCTAATTTCCTCTTCTCTAGGTTTTCATACTCTGGGCCTAGGACAATGACCAGTGCCAACTGGGTGAAGAAAGGGAGACAGTTCAGATCATGGAGGGGGAGAAATATTTGTAAGTTACTAGCAAAAAAAGTGCATCTTCACAATATTAAGTACAACTCAGCCTATGGGATTAAGACATGCCGTACCTCTCTGTCAAGCCCAGCTGCTACGGTGATAATGTCACCGGTCTCGTTGTTGATTGTAAACATGTTTGGAGAGGGGCTGCTTGGGGCCTGTGACAGGATTCTGTATCTCAGCATCCCATTCTGTGCATTGGGATCATCAGCATCGATGGCAGTAACAGTCATCACATAGGTTCCTAGCAGCAGGATAAATAATTGATGTTATATAAACAGTTTACTCAGATTACACAAGATCACTTACAAGTAATGGTCAAAGCATGTATTTCTTTTGGTAAACTCTGCACATTCCTTCTCTTACTTAAAACAAACTGGTTAAACCCAAGACTCACCAACAGAATAATTAAAATACATAAGAGGCGATAAAAATACTTTGTGTTTATAAAATATCAGATTTGCTTATAAGTGAAGAAGCTCCATAAACAATGAAATCCTACAATTCTGCCATAAATAACATTTCTGTAACAACAGAGCTTCTCACATTTAGATAAAAACATTATTAATTGGGCCAAAGGAAATATACTTAATGTTCAGAACTGGTGCACATACTGGTAGTGACTGAAAAATCAATGTAAATAATACTTTCAAAGGTCTTTGAGACGCATCTCAAATGCCAAGTCCACACTGCAAAGTGAGAAAATACATTTCTTGTGCTAACCTTTCTAAAAAATTCATTTTGCACTACTGAAAAATTAAGAAAGTGGTTTCAGCCATAGTGCAAACTTTAGTCTGAGTTGATTAGAATTTTAATGAGATATGAACAACATTTAGGGTTTTCTCGAGAATTTAAATGAAATTGTTTGATTTCAAATCCCAGTATTTCCAAAGCATCTGAGATTCAGAACTAGAACTGGATCTGCTGATATTTCAGAAATTTCTTATACCCTGACATGTGAACTAAATGAACATCAATGGCTATCATGAACATAACTGTAAGAACTGTGAAATTATATATAGGATTTTCAAAAACAGGAACCTAAAAGTCATATTCTTTAAGCCTTCTCTGGTTTAGTTTACGTATGTAATATTTTCTTCTTTTGGAAATCAATCCTAGCATGCTAGAAGTGAATTAAAAATAAGGTGAGATACTAAGATAGTATCAGAGATTTTGCTCATCAAAATAAAGACACCTTTCAAAGTATCGCAAGGTCTGAAGGCACCCCCTTCACCACCTTCAAAATAATACTGCATACCTTTTTCCTCCCCGACTTTGAAAGCCCATGTATTACCTGGCTTTGATCCTTCAGGGACTGTCCCATTCCAAACCTGGTGTAAGAACTCAGGTCTATTGTCATTCATATCAATGACATTAATAACAATGTCAATAGGATTTTCCACCTGGTTTCCATTTACATCCACTGCGTGCGCTCTCAGCTGCAAAAATCATTAAAAGTATTACAATCTGCACAACATACAGGCACAAATAGATACAACAATGGTGACAGGAAGTTTCAGGCCACACATTTTTAGCTCAATGTATTTTGTTATCTGCCACTGCTCTCTCATATCAACCTTTTAAGTTCTCAGGTTGCTAATGGGACTGCTGTTCAGACTTCTAAACTATTCTAAGTTGCAGATTTACTTCTTTGATTTGCTGAAAAGTATTTTGAATCATGTAATTTTGATTAATACCAATGCCTACACTCATATATAATTCTGTTTTTAATAATGACCATTAGAAAACAGACTCTAAAAGTATGCAGATTAAACAGCTAACAACTTATTAAGAATCCATAGGGAATGAACACTGGCATCACTTTCAAAAATTCTTTACTGATATTACGTATATTGAATAGACATGAGTGCATAGAAAAAGCATATAGAATGTATTTGTGTTACCTGGAACACCAAGGTAGGGTTTGTGATAAATCAGTCAGTAAACACACTGAAATTCCAGGCTAAAATTAAGCTGAAGTTTATGGACTGAGTTTCAAAGATACTGAGACACTTAAATTTAATGCCCTGATTGTCAAAAAGGGCTGAGTAACTACCTTTGACAGTCAGGTTTACCTAAATCATCTTAAATTGGACAGCCAAAAAAAGGAACACAGTACTTTCTGAAAACATAAACCTATGTATCCAGGCCAGAGCCCGGCAACTGTTAGGCAAAAGAGCAACTTTCTCCTATAGCAGCCCTGCTGAAGCCCATTTTAA